TTTTTTTATCTTTTCAGGGCCAGAATATTTTTCGTTATTGGTATAATGTCTCAAATTTTAGTTTTAAAAAGAAATAAGCCCTACCAGATATTTTTCTATTAATTCTGCGTCAAAAAAGCACGTTTTTTCATTTTCCAAAAAAAATCATATTTTACCCAAAAAGCCAAGGCTATAGCCCATGATTCTGCCGGTATTTTGAAAAAAAATAGTTTTTCCTCATATTTCAATACAAAGATGCTTTCGAAGTAAGACTTTGAAAATTGATATCCTTTCATCAAAATTCCGATTAGTGTTTTGATAATCTGTTATCAAAACTTTGGATAATTTCAATTTTACTGTTTTTTTTTCTTTTTTAATATTGTAAACAAAAAATATTTTTGAAAGTAAGGCTATTCAAACAAAATCCCAACATCTAATAGGCCATCACGTCTTCTTGCAAAATAAACTCCACCTTTTGGATTGTTTTTACTCTGTGTTAGCGAAAGTTCAAGTTTTTTTTTATCTTTTCACGGTACATAATATTTTTCGCTAATGCTGTATTATTTCAATTTTGAGTTTTCCGACGAAATTAGCCCTATCCGATATTTTTAGATTAATTTTGAACTAAAATAGCACCTTATTCCATTTCTCAAAAATATTCATATTTTCACCGAAAAGCCAAGGCTATAGTATAGCCCATGTTTTTTCCCAAATTTTGAAAAAAACAATATTGACTCAAATAATTGTTATCAACGTGTCACAGATTTAGTTGATTTATACAGTCTATGTCATTTATTATCTTGTATTAGATCACATTTTCCTTATTGCTCTTCATGTTATCTCTTACAGACTACAAATCAACGAGTATAATATCGCATGGCAACGCAACACAAAATCACAATGATTTATGACATAATATTATAATTTTGTTCAGGAGTTTATAACGGCAACTGTCTGCCAACATTAACCGCAAAAGATAACCTAATGGCTTCAGACATTTAAATCAGAAACGAGAATTAAGACTGACCATTAATGTCCCTAAAATAATATTTCATATTATCATGTATCATAGACATATCTCTAGTGAAATTTCTTCAATCTTTTCCACATCAAATTTTTATTGGAAAACATTGAAGTAATTTGCTGTTATACAGATTTTATAGAATGACATTCTTTCAGTTGTTGATCTTCCAATAAACTAATTGTATTCACTGTATGGTCATTTAATGGTTATCCCATGATCATGTAAACATCTTTTTCTAAACAAGAACTTTGATCATACTAACAAAAAAGTTCAGTTTATTGTTTATTTATTCTTAAAGATTTTTAATAACGTAACTAAAACTTAAGAATTGGAAACTTTTCAGCATAACCTCACAAAACTTCTGGGAAATTAAACGTCATAAGTTCAAGTCCAAGCAACTGAGGTTAAGCCATATGTTTGTCATGTTTTATCATACCGTCATGTGCATTTAGAAACAGCTAATGTTTCCAACTGTGATTTATTGCTTTTGATAACACGATAATTACTGCCCAACTGGTACAAAGTACAGCAATAAAATTACAAAATTGAAATAAAACACATCTTGAAACCGTTAGGATCAACGCAAAGGAATAAAATGGCATCACTCGTTTCATTTCATCTTGTATTATATTGATGATTTATCTACAGTTAGTGTTAGGAGTTTGAAAAATGTGGGATAAAATATAAAGTTTTACCATTTAGAAAGTTCTAGAAGTTATGCAAATGAAATGTGAAAGTTGTAAGATGAAAAACTATTTTAATTCTTAATTTAAAATCGTCTTCCACTCAAACTCACTCAGCAATATTATGTAAGTTCATATGGAAATCTTTAGTAGATATGCTTTATCAAGAAAAAAAAAATCTCTTATTTGATTTTCATGGCATATTTATTGAAAGCTTGTCAAATTACTGAATATACATACAGTACATTCAGAGTTATAGTAATATAAATATGTAATTGTTTCACCAATACGACAGTACTATTATATTTATATAGATTTGTAATTAATAATTAATGTTAATATTGAATAAAACTCAAGACTCTTGGTTTACACTGATTAGTATGAATTAAAAGACCGTAAAAAGTCGTTCTTCTCCGTAACAATAGATTAACCCACTGCAATTGATAACATAAATATACAGTGGTGTTAGGTTTAGCGATCAGTAAAAGATGTTTGAAACTTAATATTGGGTAGAAATGCAAGAAATTTATTTATTGACTGAACAATATAATATGAGCACATGTAATAATATAGTAATACATCAATGTGTAACGTACAGAACTATAGAATACAAATATTTCATATGTTTACTAGAAATAATTATCCACTTACAAATAACAAGCAGTGTATATACTAGTCTCCAACTGCTACAAAAAAAATTAATTAGGATTGTAAAACATGTTCCAGAAGAAGCTTGTATCTTTTTCAACTTAACGAAATAGAAATCTAATATGATGGAATTTGGCGTCCCAATTCAGTTCAAAAATTCCATCAAAGTTTGGTTTTTCACCGGCAGGGAGAGCCACGGTAAAGCGTTGAAGTATAGACACAAAATATAGAAACATTTCAACTAGGGCCAACTTCTCACCGGGACAAGAGCGTTTTCCTTTTGAAGAACAGTAAACAAATATCAATACTTTTTCTGACACGAAAGTCACACAATTATGGTAGAATGAGCCAAGATTTAAAGATTCTAGACTAAAATCATTATGACATTTTAAATTGTGTTTCCGTCTTCGTTTCACAATATTTGCGAAAAGTTAGGCATGGGCTATCTGTACTAGCATTGTACATTCTTCTATCCAAAGCTTGGTGTTTGAGCAGAATTTCAGCTTTCACCATTATACCTTTCCTATAGTTGACTTTAGAATACTACTTTTATGACTATATTACAATAGAGTAACATTTTTTCGATTGTAGATTATGGTTATATTTGTTTTGCTAGTGAGGAAGCCAGTAATGTAGGGATTTTATTATCCATGTAAAATCGAGATGGCTTAGCCCGCTATGTGATCATTATCTGATCAAGTGATATGTCCTCTTCCATCCCTATCTTGTATGGTTCTGTTACGACAGCGGAAGTCACGTGACGCTGGTAACACGTCATGATATTCTAGACGGATCATGAAGGCCCGAGCGTTTTCTAGGCGCCCTCTATTTTAATATATAAGCCCGGCAAATAAAGCGGAGAGAGGAAGTGACGGCATAGATAATTGCAGACAGGCAGAGATAGAGACTGACAAGCGCGGTAGTGACCGTAAGTAAAGTGTGTGAATTGTTGTGAATTATAGCGTGTGTTGAGGTTAAAGTGACTGTGGGAATTAATTGTATTACAAAGTTGTATTAAGAAAGAATAAACTAGTTTTATTTAAGAAAGGACTTGTATCGCTAAAGTTTCATCAGAAAGAAATTATACGGGAAATTAACAAACGAATACAGAAACGTAACAGTCCCACTTTTTCAAGTTCAGTAGCCAGCCCTACATAGATTTTATATTTAGCGGTGCATTTTTTTTCCTAATACTTATTTGTTTACTTTTTTTTACAAGAGATGCCTACGTGTTTTACTAGGTTATAACATATATTCTAAAGCTTTATACATTTTACATATAATGGGTAGTTGAAGATCGTCGACACTGTTTTGCTCTATCAAATGATGATCAGATGAGTTTTGTATTGCTTTAATACAGTTGTCCATACACAGAGAGTGGTAACGCTCTCTCCAATAACTGGCTCGGCATAGCCAGGTGGTTAGGGCTCTCGACTCGCAGTCTGACGGTCGCGGACTCGAATCCTCGTCCCACCAAACACGCTCGCCCTTTCAGCCATGGGGCGTTATAATGTGACGGTCAATCCCACTATTTATTGATAAAAGAGTAGCCCAAGAGTTGGTGGTGGGTAGCGATGACTAGCTGCCTTCCCTCTAGTCTTACACTGCTAAATTAGGGACGGCTAGCGCAGACAGCCCTCGTGTAACTTTGCGCGAAATTCAAGAACAAACAAACAAACTCTTCAATAAGGTCCTGATTAACAGCAGATAACAACTCATTGTGGTAAGGAGCTTGAATATTTTTAAAGGTTTATAGAATTTGATTTTGGAAGAACTCTTTATTGATGGAGATCATTTTTATTGATCTTAAAAATAATTGTTTGAATACATAATTATTATACAGTGGTTATTTCAAAGAAACAGCTTGTGCAGGCTCTCAATACCACCAACTGACAAATCCTTATCTATAAAACTATGTAGCTTTATCTATGTCATATTATATACTGACATTTGAAACCAGAGATGTTTTATGTTGAAATATTATGCTCTGTGTATGTTTTTGTTTTTCTGTAAATTTCAATAGAATTATTAACATTGTACAACTTGCAACTGACCAAGAAGGAAAAAAAAACATAATAAATTACTTTGTTAACAATAATTTACTTGAAATATAGGGATGAATAATAAAAAAAATAACATCTTCTTTAAAACATATAGCTACATGTTATAGAAAACTTGAAAAATGCTATTTTTTATATATTTAAGAAATTATAAGATTTTTCTTTACTATATTTGATACTCATTATTCAGTATATGCTATGAAACAACTATTACATCATAGTGATGTTTACTTTTAAACAAGTTGGCTTAAGATTTGTTTGTAAACATATAGTAAAGTTAATTACCTCAAAAGGAGTACTTACAGAAAACCCTAAAAGAAGGCTTAAGAATAAGAGTAAGAATGTGAAATAATATTAAAATTGTCCAAAACTCAAAAAGGAGCAGCGAAGAATATCATAACACAAATATCTGATAAAAATAGCAAACAAAAATAATGATATAGATATCTGTATGTACATTTATATTGACAAACTTCTTAAAAGGAAGATCTAGTTACGTCATGAATGAATCAATAAAATATTCGGCTAATCTTACCGATTATAAATGGAATGAAATATTCTGGTTTCACTAAAGTAGTACCATCTTGACTGAGGAAATGTTCTGGAAAGAATTCACTGGGATTCTTCCAGTATCTGGGATCGTTGTGAACAGCCCAGATGTTGTTCATGACAATTGTTCCTTTAGGAATGTTGTATCCTTGAACAGTTGTGTCTTCCCTCGTACTTGAAAATAGAATCAATGTTATATTCTGTGTCTTCCCTCGTACTTGAAAATAAAATCAATTTTGTACTCAGAGTATATGATTGATTATACCAATGACCTTTATTTTTAATATTTATTCATTTATTTGCTTGTTAAGTGTTTAATTTCATATTTTATTTTTATATTGAGAAATGATACACTTTTAGATGTATACATGTAATAATTTATATACGCTTTTAGATGTATACATGTAATAATTTATATACGCTTTTAGATGTATACATGTAATAATTTATATACACTTTTATATGTATACTTGTAATAATTTATATACGCTTTTAGATGTATACATGTAATAATTTATATACGCTTTTAGATGTATACATGTAATAATTTATATACACTTTTATATGTATACATGTAATAATTTATATACACTTTTATATGTATACATGTAATAATTTATATACACTTTTATATGTATACATGTAATAATTTATATACACTTTTAGATGTATACATGTAATAATTTATATACGCTTTTAGATGTATTACATGTAATAATTTATATACGCTTTAGATGTATAC